GTCTTAATGATCATCTGCCCGGCGCCTGTTCCGTGTAGTAAAATACTGCATTTGATCAACACTTCACAAACAGAAGCTTTGATCCTATGAGTGGGTGGGTGAACAGAGGAAACACTAAAAGACATTCAGAAAAGTGAAAAAAAAAAAAAAAAAAAGGCAGGGTGGGAACCGGGGATGGGAAGAGATGGCCCAAGACACAAAGCTAGTCATAGCCGAGCTCAGGGCGGACCCGAGCCTCCAGCTGTCCATCTCCACACTGCTCTACTCGAGCTGTGGCCAGGAGCCCACCTTGGGACCAGCTAGGCCAAGGGTAGGAGGCGGGCAGGGAGGCAGGCAGGCAGGCTAGCATACTCCCGAGGCCAGTGGGAGCAGGTGGCCAAGACCAGGCCATTACCTCGAGCAAGCAAGCGAGCAAGCGCTTACAGTTTTGCTTTGAGTAGGAGGAGCCAGACCACTGGGAGAAGAGACCAGTAAGAGGGAGGGCCCAGCCCCTCCAGCCCCCACCACTACCCCCGGGTCCTCTAGAAGCCACTGCTACAACCAATGGCTGAGTTTCCGACACCAGGAAGAAATGAGAACAGAGGCCTGAGGCTACCCTAAAATATTTATGCTAATAATTAACATTTATGTCCAGCCACAGCCTCCTCAGTTGAATTTTTTTAGAGTTTTATTACATTTATTTATCCTGTGTGTGTGCGCGCGCACGTGCATGCCTGTGTCTGTATATATGTGTGCCTATGTGTCTGCATATGTGTGTGTGCTTGCACACATGTTCTATGGTGCATGGTAGGTCAGAGGAACCTGTGGGATCTCCTTCCACCAAGCGGGTCTTAGGAAACAAACTCAGGTCATCAGGCTCGGCAACCAACGCCTTTACCCACAAAGCCATCTTGCTGGTCCTGGTGGATTCCATGCCCAGGCCCATCTCTTAGCTAAGTCACTTGCCATAGGGTGTCGCCAGCCCTGACGGAGTGACCAAGCAGAGCTCCAGCCACAGCTGAACATGTTCAGCAGTGGCCAAGATGCTGGTCTCAGAGTCAAGTTCCGAGGCTACTTTCCAGCTTAGGCCTTGACAGGTTGCTTTCCCTCCCTGCTCCTCCGTGGATTATCCGTACAACCTGAGGACTGGAGCGAATGATTACTAAAAGCCCACCTGTGATGGAGTCAGGATGGGAGATGGGGAGAGGACAAGACCGGGACAGCCTACCGAGTGCTTGGAGAGGCAGGCACTAGGGTCTATGCTCAGGATATGAGTTCTGGCTGTTTGGCCCAACAAGTACTGGGAGATGGTACCCACAAAAAAATAAGCCTCAGAGACCAGCCCATGTGTGTGTGTGTGTGTGTGTGTGTGTGTGTGTGTGTGTGTGTGTGTGCTCGTGCCCAGAGGGGCTAGTAGAGCCCCTCCCAACCAGAGACTTGAGGAAGCAGCAATGGGTAATTCTTTTTTAACTTCTCCCTTGGAAAGCCAAACTAGGCACACTGCCTCCCTGCTGCAGGGGTACAGGGTTGGCCAAACTCCCGGTGACTTCCCAGAAGTCCAGGGTCCCCTGGGACTGGCTCCACCCTAGCTGGCAGTCCTCCGAGCTAGGCACCCACGTCAGCAGGTCCTCGTGGCTCCTTTGCCCTTCCACCCAGTGACAATAAGACAGACAAAGGGATGGGCATGCTTACCCTCAGCCCCAGGATGAAAAGCTTCTGTCTCCGGGGCATCTCCCGGCAGCACCCTCCTGTTCCTGGAGCCTCATCTGGCTCCAGATAGTGCCCGAAGCTGAGGCTTCATGTGGAATACACTCCTCTCTGGGCCTCAGTTTCCTTTCCTGTCATGGCACTGGCACAAATGCAGAGTGAGGAATGCCTACTCAAAAAGACCCTCCAAGACGTCTCAACTCCAGCTGTAGAACAATCAGTCACAAGCGTGACCTTGGGGGATGCTCATGAGGGCAAAGTTAAAATGGTGTTGGAAGGGTAAGAGCTTTTGATTAGTGAGCCTGGCTCGTGGTAGAGAGTGAGGGCCAGCCTTGCCGACTGCCCCACAAAGGTCAGGCTCTGGTTCCACCCCTGGTAGGAGCCTCTGGTCAGGCCTGCATGAGTCATTCAATCTGAGAGTCACCAAGTTGGCTGTGTACTTATGGCTAAAGCTAGGCTCTGGGTACTGCCTTCCCGGGAGGAGGGGGGATCTGAGCAGGAGCAGAAGGGCGGAGGGGGAAAGTGCTGTAAGGGACGTAGAGAGATGTAGAGGGTACTTCTGGGTGCCAGGTGAGGATCCAGGAGAGTGCCTGAGGGTCATGGCCAGCAGGGAGGAGGGTCATGGCCAGCAGGGAGGAGCAGGAGAGCTGTTGTATAAGCCGTGTAGAAAGGCAAAGGATGCCAGGCAAGTGGGCACTGGGTTTTCCCGAAGAACAGCAGTCTTTAATGGAACCCAAGACAAGTTGTGCGGGGCAGACGGGTGGTACAGAAGGGTTCCTTCCTTTGGGAGGGGCTATGGATGGCTACACACACACACACACACACACACACACAGGACCCTGCATCTTCAGGTGCCTTCCCAAGGGCCCCTCACAGTGTACCCTACAGGCTCCCCAAGCATCGTCTCCTTTGCTCCGGATGCAGTTCCAACAAGTGCTTAGGGCACGGAATAGCAGCTTTAGGTCATGGCCCTGGACCCCAAGTGCACAGAAAGCAAGTGAGCCCAGAGACAGAACGAGATTTGCCCGGGGTCACACAGCCGGGGCCATAACCACGCTCTGCACTCCGTGTGGAGCTCCGCCCCAGTGTCGTATCCAGGGAGGAATGGGGGTCCATACCCTGTGTGACGCTGGTCTGGGGGACAGGGAAGGCTAGGAGAAGCTGCAGAGGCTGGTAGCATGCCCAGCTGTCGAGGTGAGTTGTGGTCTGGCTGCGGGGCTGAGCTGGCGTGCACAATCTGTTCTCACCCTGCTGGGGTGCAGATGGGCCAGCACCGTGGCTCAACAGCTCAACTGCATAGCCCCTGGCAGAAGAAGGGACACAGCCACTGGCTGGATGCCGCCGTGGGGGCTGGGGAGCCATTCTAAGGACAGTCCTGAAGCCTTGGCTCCCCAAACATCTGTTCCCAGACCTCCCTGAGCTTTAGAATTCAAAGGTCCTAGGCCGGCAAAGGTGGCTCCACTGGAATGCAGCTACTCCTAAGCCTGGCAACCTTTTGGAAACGTGAGAGCACTCTGCCACCTCCTCCATTGTTAATCAGCAAATTGTTGTTGGGCATTTGAGATGCACCAGGCTCTAGGCTAAGCGCATTACATACATTATCTCACTTATTCCCCCAAAGCCCTTGCTGGGATATATTAGCCCCATTTAACAGATGTGAAAACTAAGGCTCAGAAATGTTTTATATAGACGGGAGGATGTGAACTCAGATCAGAAAACACTCATAATATCCTGGGTGTAGGATATCCATAATATCCTGCAATGTAGTCATAATGTGTATTTGGGACTCCCTTAGAAGGTAGAAGTTAGAGGGGGTCATTACAGGCTCACCTGGGCAACCCCCAAGTTAATATTTAGCTTCATGTAGTTGTGGATCCTAGAATTCATAGGCGAGCCTTCTCAGAGTCACCCAAATAAAACACTGATCACTTTCAGCTAGGAGGAACCCAGGAAGACTGCCTGGAAGACACATCGTTTGGTTGAGATTTCTTAAGACCCAGAAAAGAGAACAACTTGGAAAGCCTGCTCACATTCTTTCATTCTCATAATTTGCTTAATAAAAACTGAAGTGTTTATGCTCACTGGATTGGTGGGAGAAGCAAGTGGCCAGAACAAAATATTTCATTTTCCAATAAAGAGACATGATCAAAGAGAGAAAGTCACAAAACCACTAGTGAAAAGGCCAGAACTTATACCCAAGGACGGACCCATGCAGGGTCCCTCCCCCACCAGGTGGCCAGGAAGATGTTGTTTTGAGAAGAGTTTACTCTGTAGCCTAGACTGTCTCTCCAGCTCTGCCTCGGCCTGTGGTTTCGGGCATGCACTACTCTGCCCAGCTCAGGGCAGAAATTCCATAGTCATTTGATGGTCAGCTCGGAGGAGCAGTTCTGATTCTGCCTGGCTCGCCTATGAGAGAAGCGCACACACAGATGTGGAAGGTTGGGGCAGAAGACCCCAGTCTCAGGAAGGGTGGACCCTCTCACATCTTTATTCACTCAGCCGGGGTGAGGGCACTGCTAGGCCAGCCGCCCAGGGAAACTGCACCCGTTAAACTCTGGCTGCAGCAGGGAAACCAGAAAGAAGCCATTGAGTGCCTCAGTTTCCCTCTGAATCACTGCATCAGAAGCCATTCCATCCAACCACTTGCCCCATAGCCACTGACACTGGGGCCCACAGAAGGCAGGGAGCATGGCAGAGCCCCCAGGTATTAGACAGGAAGCCTGTTCTACACACACACACACACACACACACACACACACACACACACAGTCAGCTGCCTGCCGACAAACTCCCCAGCAGAACCAGGAACCAGCCCCCCCCCCCACCAAGAGGCACAAGACACCCTTGTTTTCAAGAAAGCAGATTCAAGTTCAAACTCAAGATTGCTAAACTTCCTGGCAGTGTGACCTGAAAAGTCTCTGCCTTTTGGGAGGATCATCCCAGAGTGCTTCCGGTGTTCCAAACAAAAGGTTAGCCCAAAGCACCCGGACACCGATGAGCTCACGTGTTGAAAAGGTAGCCTCAATAGCCTGGTGAGGCGGCGTCAGACAAGGTGGTGTGCCTGTAACCCTGGCACTTGGAAGGTGGAGGCAGGAAGATCAATGTGGTGAGTTCAAAGCCAGCCTGGTCTATATTCAGAGAGGCAGAAAAAAAGAAAAAAAAAAAAAACTGGGGTGGGGAAGGGACGTGGATGGGTGGAGGCAGAGCAGGTGAAGAACCTCCAAGTGGACAGGGAAGGAAGCGGGCAGAGGAGGGCCCCCTGCCAGGCCAGCCCCACAGCTTGTGCTTTCTCTCCTCTCCCCGGATCTCTCCAGGCTATGGCCACGCGGCGCCCAGCACAGACGGGGGCAAGGTGTTCTGCATGTTCTACGCGCTGCTGGGCATCCCGCTCACGCTCGTCATGTTCCAGAGCCTGGGGGAGCGCATCAACACCTTCGTGAGGTACCTGCTGCACCGTGCCAAGAAGGGACTGGGCATGCGGCACGCCGAGGTGTCCATGGCCAACATGGTGCTCATCGGCTTCGTGTCGTGCGTCAGCACGCTGTGCGTCGGCGCCGCGGCCTTCTCCTACTACGAGCGCTGGACCTTCTTCCAGGCCTATTACTACTGCTTCATCACGCTCACCACCATCGGCTTCGGCGACTACGTGGCGCTGCAGAAGGACCAGGCGCTGCAGACGCAGCCGCAGTACGTGGCCTTCAGCTTCGTGTACATCCTCACCGGCCTCACGGTCATCGGCGCCTTCCTCAACCTCGTGGTGCTCCGATTCATGACCATGAACGCCGAGGACGAGAAGCGGGACGCGGAGCACCGCGCGCTGCTCACGCACAACGGCCAGGCAGGCGGCCTGGGCGGCCTGAGTTGCCTAAGCGGTAGCCTGGGCGACGGCCTGCGTCCCCGCGACCCGGTCCTGTGCCCGGCGGCCGCGGGCGGCGTGGGCGTGGGCGGCGGCGGCTTCCGCAACGTCTACGCCGAGGTGCTGCACTTCCAGTCCATGTGCTCGTGCCTCTGGTACAAGAGCCGCGAGAAGCTGCAGTACTCCATCCCCATGATCATCCCTCGGGACCTCTCCACCTCCGACACGTGCGTGGAGCACAGCCACTCGTCGCCGGGAGGCGGCGGCCGCTACAGCGACACGCCCTCGCACCCCTGCCTGTGCAGCGGGACGCAGCACTCGGCCATCAGCTCGGTGTCCACCGGCCTGCACAGCCTGGTTACCTTCCGCAGCCTCATGAAGCGCAGGAGCTCGGTGTGAACCGCAGCCAGGCCCGGAGCACCTGTGAGCCAGCGGGGCGGGGGGCAGGAGGGGAAGCCTGCAGAAGCCGCAGGAGTTGGCCAGGAGGCCGCCTCCCAAAGACGCCTTCGGGGCCCCCCGTGGGAAGTCCCCAACCCGCCGCCGCCGCCACCACCACCTCTACTCTTCCCCAGCTCCTAAATCTCCAACTGGGCGGGTTTGCACCAGCCAGCAGGAGGCCGGGCTCTGAGGATCCCTGGAGCCCCCATCAGGGCCTGGTGAATTCCGAGAAATGTGAAACTTGGGGGGCAGGGGAGGTGGGGAAAGCAGCCACTGGGAGCCGCTGAGAAGCTCCCTAGTCCTCAGAGGCCCTGCTGGGCCCACACCCCTCACCTCCGTATGGGGACTAATGTTCTCGGTTTTGGGTTTTTTGTTTTCTGTATTGTTTTGGGTTTTTTTCTTTTCTTTTCTTTTTTTTCATCTCTACTTATACCTCCCCTGGGCTCTCCAAAGCCTAGGGTGTCTTTGTCCAGGTCACCCCTCCCCCACTCGGTCCCACCTTGCTCTCTCATCCCCAGCCGTGTCTCCAAGCCTCTCACCGCCTTCTGTGTCCACTACCTTCTGTTTTTTGCATGGCTATGCAGTTATGGAAGAAAAAGAAAAAGAAAAAAAAAAAAAAAAAAGGAAACCCCAGCAGTCCCTAAAGCTAGTCCCCAGAGGGCAGGACAGGAAGGGAAAAAAAAAAAAAGGCAGGCCACAGGAGTTAGAGTGAAGAGAGTGCCGAAACTGTGGCTTCCCATTCTGCAAACATCAGTAGTAGGTGAGCTACCTGGGGCCTGGTACCACTCTCAGGCTCCTGGGAGCCTCCAGCCTTCAGGACTGCCCTTGGAATCTGAAACAGTCTCCCGCTTGCTGTCCCTGGCTGCTGCTGCTGCTGCTCATCTCCTCTTCCATTTATAGTGATTTTTAGCACCAGAAACCCTGTCCTACCTACTCATTCATTTGAGTGTAATAACTCTGGTTAAGTCACCTGGGCAGTTCTTATGGCCATTTTTCAGAAGAGGAAAACAGGTTAAAAAAAATTACTTGCCCAGGGTGATTCAAGTCTTGAAGGGGAACAAGAATTTGCAGGCTTGTTCCCAGCCCAAGTGCTCTTCCTTCCAGCTCAGCCTGCTCTCCGAAGCAAAGCCCCTGCAGGCAGCACCCTGGCATCGTGTAGGGAGCTGGGGCTTAAACCAGAATCAAAAGGCCCAGCCAGAGACACTGCCAGTGCTCTGTCTCTGCTACTCTTTAGCCCAGAGACTGCGGCTCTAAATGGACCCTTGTCTCCGTTCACAGGCAGGGAAGTCCTTGGGACCAAGGTAAGCAGGACTGAGTCTCATGGACTAAAAGCCAGGAGTTGGAACTCTTGCAAGTTCAGGGATTGGGCAGAGCAGCCCAGACGCTGACAGGTATGCCCTGGGACATTACCTCTGGCCTAGAAGCCGGAGCACCTGCATCCTAAGTTGCAAGTGAGGCTTCCTTCCACTGCAGCCAGGAACACCCCTCTGGGGGAAAGAAGGTATCGGACCTGGTATGCCCTCTACCTCCTCCACCTGCAACCCAGGTGGTCAGTGGCCTACTGTTGGCTGGCTACCGGGACAAGCTGGAGGCGGGAGAGTGCCCAGGACAGCAGAAGGGTATGTGTGGGGCTCTAGGTGTAGCTCGGAGGTAGAGCACTGTCCTAGTGTGCTTCAGGCCCCCGAGTTTCATCCCCAGAACTGTGAAAAGGGGGAAGGGAACCCTCCCATCACCACCCCCTCCCCAGGGCTGCCTTCCACTCACTGTTCCCAGGCCTAGCTCCATACTGCTGAGTAAGGCCAGCCTGACCATTTGGGGAGCTAGAGAGAGGGAGCCCCATCATGTCCTCCAGGCCGTGGGGAATGCTCAGGTGGAAAGAAGCTGGCCTTTGTGTACCCCGTGTTCATGTGGAAGAGCTGGCCTGTGGGCCCAGGGGAATAGGACCCAGGAGCTGGAGAGGTGCTGTCTGTGTTTATGTTGGGCTGGAGGCAGTGCTGGCTGCCTCTGTCCTGTGTGTGACCCTGCCCTCGAGGGGTCAAGTCCCGTCAGAGTCAGATCCGAGGGAGCCACAACCAAAGTTACAGAGAGGGTGGGGAAGGCAGCAGAGTGGCCCTAGGGGTCTGAGCATGGGGGACTGCTGGTCTCCTGTAGGGTCTTGCCTAGGGAACTAGAAGGCCACTGTCACTTCCTGTCTCACCCCCTCCCACTGCAGGCAGCCTTTCTGCTTCCCCAATGCCTTATGCCTGGGCACACTGCCACAGAATATGCAATATGTGTGGGTGACATGCCCCACACTCACCCGGGCAGCCCCTAAGTCCCCAGGCTGTGGCTGCCCTGGCCCCCCTCAGCAGCTCCTGCCCATCTGTCTTCACACTGAGAATGGCACCTAATAAATGCTGTCCATGGAGACCAGGCTCTGGTTCCCGCTCCTCTGTCGTTGATCACCCTAACTGTTGCCTAGCCATCCACTCACCTTATCCCCAGCAGTGCCTACACATGTAACTACTCCATTCCCCTCGGCCTTATCAGAATGCTTTGGGAGCCTTGTATAGAAACCTGGGAGTCAACCCTGGCTTCCCTTGGGATTTTCACAAAAGATCCAGATCTCTTCAACGTCATCCTGGAACAGACTATGAGGGCAAGACCTGAGAAGTGTCCTTAGAAATGACTGGGTCCTTTCTTCCCTCTGTACATAAGTAGATGAGGCCAGTGAGGGCAAGCCACTTGCCCTGAGTCACACAGCCACAAATGGCAACCCAGGATGAGAAGCAGAGCTGGCGAGTCCCTGCCTTCCCTCCTTACCTGGCCTGTAGACGCAAACAGGACATACCCCATTTTCTGAGAGTGGCATGCTCTCCTCCCTCAGCAGAGGCCACCGCCCCAATGGACACACACACAAAATAGTATCCCTTTTAAAGATGGGCACATCACAAATACTTTTTATTAGGGTGTGTTTTTCAGAGTCTAGAGGGACACCTCAGGCTGAGGAATGGACTTCAAAGTCCAAGATGGGTGTGTAGAAAGCAGATGTGCCCTGCCCAGTTGGTGCCAGCACCTGAATCAACTGGCCAATGGCTTCCGGGCTTCCCTGAGCATGAACCATCGTAATACCTTTTGACACCACAACCTCTCTGCACATCATGACTCAACCACCCTATCACACTCAACGCTTGCATATCCATTCTCCTCCTTGTTATAAATGCTAGCTGAGACCCACTCCATTGATTTCTTTACCCACTGATAGCTTACTGCCTTCAGACTGACATACACTAAGAAACAAAGACTTGGGGCCAGAGACTTCTTCGCTAGTCTTCCCTTCTACTTACTGAGACCAACTGAAGAAAGAGGGAACATATTTGTGGGGAGGTTCTGGGCTCAGAGAAAACCTGTGCCTTCTCCCGGATGTAGCCAGCCTCCCTCAGATGCACCTCTGGCCATCCCTTGAAGTGACAGGCAGGTTCTAGAGCCTGTTCATTGGTAATCTGCTGGCCTCAGGGTGGGCACAGCAGAACCCTGGCCTACCCACTCCTAAAAACGACTTCATCACGATCAGGGCTCAGAGGCCTACTGCTCCTGCCTCTCAGTTCTAGGAAATGCAGCGTCAGCAGGAGTGGGCCCTTCTGGAAATCAGTGGTGGCCAGCACAAGGTCACTTGTACTTTCTTAAGCAGCACTTTTCAGGACACAAAAATGATGGCTCTTGCCCTACTTTCAACATCGCCTGGGCAAAGATACCACAAACAGACGTTGCAGGAATTCCCAGAGGAAACCTGCACCCCAGCCCCCACCCATGGCTCCCCAGTGCTCAGCACTAACATGGGATCTTCATGTCCAGACAGTGCCAGTCCTGACCTCCTCAACTCTGAGGCTGCCTGCACTGAAAGACACAGGGAAATGGAGGTTGAAAACCTACCCTGGAGAGGGAGCAGGAACAAATGTCTTGCGTTCCCACCAGCATGGTGATTTGGGTGAGCATCCATGGGAGCAAGCTTCCTGGGAGCCAAGAGGAAAAGAGGGATGTCCTGACAACTCCTCTCTAAGTATGCAGTGGGCGACTCGTGAGAAAGGCGCTTAGCTGGGCTTGGTGCAGGAAGAGTGACTGAGTTTGAAGCCAGCCTGCCTGTAGCCTGTCTCAAAACACCAAGGAGGAAGAAAAGGACAGTCCTTGGTCAGACGAATTTGGTAGAAGGCTGCACACGTCACCCACTGTTGGAACGCCACAAAATTCTTAACTTATTAGAAGTTTTTAGAAGTTCTGCAACAAAACCACTGCTCATGTTTATTTAGGTAAGCTGGTGCCACTCCAACTCATACCAAACCAGCTCGCCTATTTGCCTGATATTTCTTTACAGCCCAGATCTCCCAGAACACACTTTGGGACCTACTCAGCTGTCACAGTATCACTGATAGAGAAGTAGGTCCCATCTTTCCCTCTTATCCCCCACTATATTCTAAAGAAAGTTTAGGGGCCATGGATGTAGCTCAGTTGGTAGAGTACTTGCCTAGCAGTCACAAAGCCCTTTGTTTGATCCCCAGAACTGTATAAAGATGTCATGTGCCTATAATCCCAGCACTTGGAAGGTAGAGGCAGAATGATCAGGAGTTCAAGGTCATCCTTGGCTACATAATGAGTTTAAGGCCAACCTGGGCTATGTAAGATCCTCAATAAGTGAATGAATGAATGAATGAATGAATGAATGAATGAATGAATGAATAAGCAAAAAAACAAATAAGTACATTTAAGCTTAAATAAACCAAGTTAAAAAAATAAATAAAGGCAAAGAGCAGCTCACTGGTCCAAAAACAGGTAGTGAGTTGGTAGTAAAGCCGAGCCTGGGACCCAGGCTGATGGTTGCATGGATGAAGCATGTATCCTCACTCATCCTGTTGGACACCACCTAGAAGTGGTCACCGTCATTAGAAAAGGTTTGGCCACTGAGAATGAGACCATGGCTCCTTCTCTGTTAGAAGCTACCAAACTCAGTCTCAGGTTGGCTCAGTGTCCTCTCATGATGCTGCGACAACAGACCTCCAGCCACCCCTACCTTCCTTGCCAAAGGACACAGAGAAATGGACAAATGTGTGTGGGAGCCGGTGCCCACATCAGAGGACCAGCTCTTACCTTTGAGAGGAAAGGAACTGGCTTCACAGAAAAGAAATGATAGGTTCAAGGTCATGAAGCAAGATAATGGTACAGCCAAGGTTAGTAGCCATAGATCCTGGCTTGTCAACTCGTACACACCCAGTTCACACACTCACACATGCATGCACGCATGCACATCCACCAATACACATACACTCACATGCGCGCACACACAAGATCTGGCTCCTCTGTTTCTGACTTTGGAGGAGAGTGCTAATCCTGGAGTTGAGTCACTTTTATGCTGGAAATTTCCATCACATCTGGACAAACTAGGAGACTCACACCCCCTTGTCTCCCAGCTGCATGGGGGACTCATGGGTGGGATTGTGATGGCGATGGTCTCTCTAATCTCCTCCAGTCAGTGACACACACATCGGACAGTCCACGTCAACAGCAGTTGGCCACAAGGACAGCACTATAAGTTAAACAAGAGTGAACACCCTGATGAGAAAGGTCAAGGTCTTGCCATGTGACCAAGGTCATGGAAATTGGCATCTGAGGCACTGGGCAGAGCCTGGAGTGTCTCCTTAGTGGCTGCTGTGCTGGGCCAGGACAGCAGGCGGGTCCTGAGAGATCAGAGACAGCCAGGGCACTCTTGGTTATAGCTTCTCAGTGGGCTGGACTGCTCCCAGGCTTAGGGAGGATCCGGGTGGACACAGTTCCAGAAGCCATTGGCAGATGGGGACAGAGAGTAAGGGACTCTTCACCTACTTCACCCTGTGCCCTGGGCTTTGGACCAAGGTCAGTGGAATGTCCAGCCAATGATCCCAGCCCTGAGCAGGAAGGGACAAAGATCATGCCTTTGACCCCAAGCCACCTCTACACATCTTCATCGACACAGACCTTGCTGCCAGGAATAGGGCACCTGTGCATAGGCCATGGGGGGAAGGGGGCTGTGGTCTCACTCCAGGACCAGACTGAAGTCCTTGAAGGCCTGAGATTTGAGTTCTCCAGCATCAGGGCTAGAGAGGCACTGTGCCATTAGACACAAAGTGAGAGTTAAACCCTGAAGAACAGAACTGCCCCCCGGGCAGGGAGTCTGCCAGGCCCTGTGGCCTCACTCTGGACTTTACACCTTCTTTAAGTGAAGACTCTTGTTCTGCCTTAATACGAGGAACAACAGAGCTCTAGACATTTGCCTGCCAGGAGTCCTGTGTCAAGGTGTCCTTCTGGCCCTTTCCAGAGACGGCCCCAGAGGTTGGAGGATGCGCTGTCTAGGACCCCGGGGCTGAGCTCAGCCTTCCCATTGCATCACAGCCGGCTTTGCTGCTCAGCCCCTCCCCAAGCAGAAAGCTGGTGAACAGCTCAGCCCACAGGACACCATGTTCTGAGTGACCTCCTCCCCCACTAAATGGCAGCTCTAAGGATCATCATGCCTTCCTTCCACTGAGACAAGAGCTGTGTCTTGAGGCTGTCACTGGAGGGCAGATGATGTCATCCAAACAGGTCAAAATGGCTCTCCACATAGACAGGAGCCTCCAGGCCTCCTCAGATCAAATACCCAGTTGTTCTGTCCCCCTTCCTGTAAATACGCATCTCGATGCCCCACCAGCCTGACACCCTGCTCAAGGACAGCTTCAGCATTTCACAGGGGTGTGATGCGCCACACCAACCCAGCCAAGACAGAGGTGGCCCTCACCCCCTCCTCTGCTCTGAATGCCATTCCCCGAGGATCGCAAGGCAGACATTCACTGACTCTCAGCCAGCTGCCTCCACTGAATTCACAACCCACCAAGACCTCGCTGGTGTTTGCCAGGAGACTCATGGTGGCGGACCCGGTGGGCTACCAAAGCTAGAACCATTCCTGCAAGTCTCCTGCCCGATGACAGAGTGCTGACATCTCTCAGAGGCCCATCCTTCCCCAAGCCCAAGCCCAGGGACTCAGCTTATCCCAGCGACCTCAGCATTAAGTCCTGTCTCGGTTTGGGACAGTTGGCTCTTTAGTGGGTCTGCTGAGAAAGGCCTTCTTCCTGGAAGAAGACATTAGAGGAGTGGAAATGCCCCTATACTTTGACTAGACAGGCCTATGTGCCCTTCAGAACTGTGGTAGCCAGCCTGTGACCTTTAGGGAAACATTGTAGACCTGGTGAAGATGGTAGAGGGAGAAAGGCAAAGGGATTTTGCTGGGCTACTGAGAAAAGCCAGGAGCCCCTAAATGGAGGAGCTCTTGTCATGGGAAATGGAAGGTGAGGGAGCCAAATGAATTTTCTGCTACTGGCTATTAAAAAGCACCATGTCCCTTCTGCACTGGGATACCACACAGCCT